GGGGGGGGGCAGCACTTTAATTAGAGTGGATCCAAGAGCTGCTTTAATTAAAGCACCCAGAGCATCTCATGTATCAGCATCCCTGAGCTTCAAAATGGTGGTAGGGGCACTTTATCTAAAGCTCATTTGACAAGCTTTAGATAAAGCACCCCTGTTGCCATTTTGAAACACAGGGACACTGATACACAAGATGCAGAAGGCTGCTGAATAATTGCCATGCTCCACTAGACTCAATTAATTGAATCTGATCTGCACTGGAATTACAGCGCATCAAAACAGCCTCCCTACTTGTGTGTAGGCACCTAGAGGTATTAAATTTAATGTGCATTAGGAAAAATGTATTAATGAATGTGTAGACGTACCCAGAGAGTCTCTTTTTATACCACCTGGGTCTGGGCTAGCTATGCCTCCTTGTTAGGGTCTTTGTCAGACACAGGCAGCAGTCACTTAGCAATCACTCAGCTAGCAGCACTCCCAGCTGTTCAGAGCACATGCTCAAGTACATAGCCAACCAAACAAACACTCAGAAAAGTGATTCTGAAAGCTATTAAACCTATACCAACCTTTAGCTGCAGGCCTTGTGGGAGACCTGTATTTGCTGGAAGTCTTTTAATGTGTTGATAGATGTAAGAGGTACACTGTTCCTGCTCAGCTTGTAATTGTGGGGCAAGTTTAGAGAGATGACCTTTGTAGCTCTGGATGGCTGCCTGTAATTCATCAGTCAGCTTGTTCACCTGAAGGGTTAAATTATAAGAGCTGTGAGCAAAGGACAATTGTTGATGTCACACATATTAGAATTTTCATTTTAAACCTGAGAGAAGACATGGATATTCTATGCAAAGTATAAGCAAAATGTCGCATATATTTTTCTTTGTACTTTTCAGGTTAATAGTAGTAGTATTTTATTTACAGCTTTTGCTAAAATGATACAATAGAATTAACAATAAAATTATATTACTTTTCAGGTTATTCATTATGCTATACTCTGGGTATACAAGATAATTTCTAATAAATGAAAATGTGCTATTAATTCAAATCTCTTCTTCTTTCCTTTTCCACTCACAGACTGTGTAGCATTATTAGTGAAGTATAAGAAAGAAACATAATTCTGTAATTCACAAAGAATGGTTACACTGAAAATACATTCTGCTTGTCTACATTCACATGTCTTTGAAGCTTCCATAAAATTCAGTTTCAAGATATCTATATGTCCTTTATGGGAAATGCTTACTGTCTTATTACTAGGAAACCATAAAAGGTTGATTTAATTAGAAAACAGGAAAAAAAAGTTTAGATAAAATAAGAATCATTCCCATCCTTCACCTATGAACCAAGCTAAACACTTCATGAAATTTTAAAAACTAAAATAATGGCTAGCTTACTTAAGAAAAAATGGAGTTTGGTGCACTCAAAAATGGTGTTAGACTTTGATTTTAAAGTTCAGTTCATGTCCTATGAATTGTTAGCAACAGCTGACACTATAATATGCAACTACCAGGTTGCAGGATCAAGAATTTCAATTTTTAAAATTATCTTTCCCCTTGAGCACTATCATCATGCATTAAAACCAGACGGGTACTTGAAGAAGCATGTTTTCATTATCAGAACTCAGAAATGTGCCTCTCCTTTGGTACTAGGAACTTCACATTTCAGGACTGCTGGGTCTGATACGAGGCCTAATAATTCACAAAATAATTGTGACTAATAATTGTAATAATTGTAATAATTGCATAATTTATCCATTAAACTACCATTCAAATTAAGTAGCTATTTTTCTAGATAAAATTGTACACAATTTATTCTCCTTTTGGCCATAAATTGCCCATTTTACTTTTACTTTTATTTCAAATGCATGCTCCAAAGAGGAATTTGTGTACACTTGTGTATACACTTGCAGATATAACTGTATTCTTCTTAGTCAACTTAATGTGAATTCTACTACGAATATCATTAGCTTTGATTACCTGGAAGAGCTAACCAGGAGAAAGTGGGCCTGGCAACTAAAATCATGTTAGCTTGTTCCATGTTCTCTTATATACACATACATATATGTATATATGTAAAATTATCGCCACACAACTGAGAGGTATAAGAATACACAAACTTTTTTAGGTGTAATGAGAAGTTCCTGTGGCTGGGTTGCCACTGAAATCCTGAAGTATACATGTAGCTTTAGCCACAATCTATCTGAGTTGAGAATGGAAGCATATTATTGATTAAAGTCATATGCAGAATATACCTCCTTATTATAATATTACAAGGTATATTTTAAAAGAATGTAGGCATTACTATATTGAAACAGATATCTGTCCAGTCTAGTTTTTTTTATCTCTGACAACTGTAAGTACCCTAGCTTCAGAAGAATGGGCAAGAAGCCCCCTTAAAAAACAATCAGGGAAGGGGAAGTTTTCTTTTAATCAAAAGAGTTAATAAAATCATTTGATTAATCTTTTTAATCAAAGCAGTGGCTTATTTGACATGAAGCATATTATTTTTAACTGAATATGATATTACTGCAGACATCATAATTAAGTATTAAATTCTTTTTTGAAACTTACTAAGATACTGGTATCATTGCTGTCTTGTGCCAGTGAACTTTGCAAGTTACGGTAGTTATATGTTGTACAAAAAATTCTTCCTATTGGTTGTATTTTTTTTGCCTTTCAGTTTTATCAAATGGCTTGAGTTCTTATATTTTGGAAATGGTAAATATCAATTCTTGATCTGCTTTTTCTATACTGTACACTATTTTGTGTAATTTTATTGCGGTTCAACTTATTCTTCTCCAATTAAACTACACATTCCTAATATTTTCAATCTCTTCAACTACAATTTTTCACAAGCACCTAAACTTTGTCTCTAAGCCATTCATTATTTCTATAATTTCTTTTACATAGATAAGCAGAACTAAACACAGTATTCCAAATGAAGGCAGGTATATCATGGCTTCACAACATTTTCTGTAATATTTTTATCTTATCTTTATATAGTCTAAAGGTTTACTTTCTTTTTTGAGTGTTGATGCAAAGTGAAGACAGTGTATGGTAATCTTTAAATCTTTTCCCTGTGGCAATATTTGAATTTAAAACCATCTTATGTATGAACAGCTCAAGTGATTCCTTCCACTATGCAGTACATTATATTTGTCATTAACAAATTTTAAGTAACTTAAGTAATTTTAAGTCATTAATTTAACTTCCTAATTTCAATAGGATTTTTGCCTGAGTAAATACTTCAGGAGTTGGATAAATACTGATATATAAAAAATAGATAAACATTATTCTTTTTAGGATTTTAGGATGTTTCCTCAAGTAAAAGTAACATATATTGTAGTAACAAGCACATTTTGCAAAAGTTCCTTTTGTGAGCCTTTGTTCTTTAGGTAACAGGCTATTCCAAAAGGTAACCCTACAAGTGACCCAAGTGAGATATATTAAAATCTAGTAACACAATACCCCTGAACTCTTTTCCCTAATAAGAATTTTTTTCAACGCCCAGATGTTGCTAAAGGGGGAAAAAAGACCTGTAAAATTCTTCATCATGAATCTTTTTTCTTCAAATCCCTTTTTCCCCCCTTTCAAAAGCAATTCTGAATAGAGGTAAAAGAAGACAAAACTTGACCTTTTGTGATCCCAGCATTAATAGGTCTGTTCATAATTCAATCTGTGTGTGTAGAAGCATCCATGTGGAAACATGTGGCCTGAGAGACATAAAGCCTTTCCCTTTAAACATTATCTGACCCTATGAGTCCTATTCACAAAAGAAGGCTTACGTACGCATAAGTTGAAAAAATGCACACTCTCATTGTACTGCAGAAAGCCTACACATTTTACCCCTCATTCTCCAGTAAAACTCAGCATAGAAGTGACACTTGTACAGGATCTGGGTGGGTTTATGGTAAATGAGCAGATTGCTGCCAGAAAAAAAGAATATGGAAGAAGGGATATCAGCTATTTCTCTCATTAAAAATACAAAGTAGGATCCTCACCTAGCATAGGTCACTATAACTGTACTGACTTGCGCGGAGCTGTGATGGTTCGTACCAGTTCAGGATTTTGGGTACTATATACTGCAGGCTTGAAAAATTATACTTAGTGCGGTAAAATACTTGCTGTAGTAAAATCTCTTTCCTTCTTCCATAATCTGTATTTAAGGTAAAGGTGGGTTTTGAGTCAGGTTTGGTAAATTTTCAAATTGATGCACTGTGTTCATACTGTGTATATATTGCTTTTATTACATATGTATACACATATACAAAGGCTGTGCGTGTTTATACAAAATGCAGGGTTTTCTTAGGGCTCAGAATCCTGTTTTATACAGGAACATTTATTGCATTTGTAAGGCTGGAACAAAGAAGAGTAAGATTTCTTTTTATTATAATTCTATATATCAAAATATTACTAATATTTCTTCCATCTTCTTCTTCTACTTGGCAATAAATCAGCTGTCAGATTGAATGCTATGTAGTTCAGAGTCCATCCAAGGTTACAAGTAAGTGCTCTAAGGCACTTTGCATGGAAACTGTCAATTGAAATCTGCACAAAGGGCAGGAGGTAAACAAGTTAAAGAACAGCAGTACAACTTCAGGTTTAGTGGGACAAATCATCAGCTGGTGTAAGTCAGGCAAGCCCCAATGTCAGTATTAATTTATGCCAGTTAAGAATCTGGGATTCCTCAACCAGGCCCAAAAATAGCATAAAAGACCATGAAGGAACTGTTAGTTTTTTTTTTTTAATTAATTTAAAAAATCATTACTACCACCTCAAAATTCTTAATATTTCAACTTCCATTAAAATCTGTAGGTGAAGATGGCCATATTTTGGAAATCACAGTCGGTGCCTAAAGGCACTCCAAAATATGGCCTTCACAATATTCCAATAGATGTTTAGCACATTCCAAAATTAGCACCACAGGGATGGACTAAAAAAGGATGTTGGGAAACAACAAAAAGTAAGGAAAGATATGAAAGATTTGTATTATTTCACATAGTTTAGCTTTAGCATAATGGTTAGGTATTAAATTGAGTAGTAGAAAAAAAGAAATTCCAAGAATAAGCCTCTAATTGTTTCACATTTAGGGATATCATCATCATTGTTTTACATAACCTGATTGTGTAACTTACTCCTATGACTCATTGACTTCAAGGACACTGCTCACAGTCACCAAATACACACAGTTTCTTGTTTACAGGTGATAGGATGAAACACTGTTTAGCACATGTAGTTCAATTACATTTTATACCCATTTCTTTTTTCATGGAGGAAGGTGAAACAGAGTAACTTATGTGGTCTTTGTCAAAGGCTTCCAAGGAGGAGTACTTGCTCATAACCTCCAGCCTTGTCTGGTTTCTCTGAGTACCCCTGAAGTCAGCATGGCTTCTAAAGTAGAAAGAGTCCAAGCTCCTTCTGACTCTGAGATTCTAGCCTTTTGGTCCTTGACATTCCCTGGTTATCCATAGCCTTGATTCTAGTTCAGCTGCTGAGAGAGGGCTTTACCTTTTTTTACATGAAGGAGTACACCCTAAGATCCAAGCACCAAAATAGATCACTTCTCTTTAATAAAGAAAGATATTATGGAAAAGGTCACCCAGCAAGAAGGTTCTGCCACCCTGCAAAGGATTAAGTGCTCCCTCTTTACCCAGTCCCACCCAAACTACCCAGAGGGCACAGATAGAAGTTATATTTGTCACACGATTGGCCCCATGAAAGCTCTCTACAGCCATGCTGTGACACGT